TACGTACTATTTGATTTATTTTATAAATGGTAATGATGCACTCTAGGTCTTAGACCTATAAAACTTTGCACTAATTTGTAAGACTCTGTTAGTCAACTTTTTCATGGATATATGGTATAAATGGAAACAAAGAATCTTATTCTCAGGAGAATGACGGTTGGTTCAATGTGGGCTTGATTTAGTATAGGGAGCAGACTGTAAGAAAGAAACATATACCATGCAGGTTTTTAAAAGCAAGACAATGACAATAAAGACCATCAAATTTAGAAGCATTTTTATTGTGTAAATTTACAGCAGGTTCATCTCTTGCCACCAACACGGGCCTTCTGGCTGGTTACCTGTTTTGTAGCCTTCTGAGGCTTCTGCCGCACACCTTGGTTTTGTGCCTGGCAAAATAAATTACCACCATCACTCACAAGCATAATATTGGATCAAGTATTTAGAGTTTGATAATTCATGAATATTTTAGGAATTCAAATTTTATCAATGCCCTAAAAGATCCTTGGGGCTGAACTAAGTCCGGGCACTGCTAACTCATGGATTGAATTGGAATTTAGCGTGTTCAGGTTTTAAGGAAGGAGGAAAACTGCAGAACCCAGAAAAAAACCCTCTAATCAAGAGAGAGACCCAACAAACTATACTACGTGATGCCAAGATGGGAATCGAGACATTTMGAAGTGAGTAACAAGGGCGGATCCAGGGTTTTTTTGAAAGGGGGGTCTCAGGGGTAAATTTTGTGGGCAAAGGAATCCCAGTCGCATTTTTACCACAGGAAGCCCATTTGACCTCAGGAATGACAGGGGGGTCACGACCCCCCGACCCTCCCCCTGGACCCGCCCTTCAGTAATGAGTGCACTATTCAATACACCACTGCTTATTCCCTACAATCAAGGCATTGCAATAGTCCTCTTTCATATTTGATGCATAATGCTGCTTTCGATGACTAGTCTCGTGTAAATGAGTCTGCTGTCAAGGAACACAGTGGTGATTCATCATTCAGTTTTTCCCTTAAACTTGGAATGCCTAATATATTACCATAGACTTAGATTTTCTCAGACATTTAGTGTTATCAGAGTAAAACTCAAACAATGTGGGTAAGATTGGTCATCACAGAAAATCAGGAG